AGTTGTTTAGATCAAGTTGTTTTGAATGCAGTTGGGAATAAAACTGTATAGGAAACTGAAACCCTGATTTTCTTTTTTTTTTTTTAACTTGACAGCACTATATGAAATATGATAATCTGGTTCAAGTTTTCCTTTGTGATGCCTAGAGTAAAACCTGCAGTATTTGGAATTTGCAGATCAGTAGATTGCTTCTCTTCTTTTTGCAGATTTTTCTGAGGCTTTAATATTAGTGGATATTAGTAGATGTCTTGTTTGTTCCAGTAAGTAAATCTTACTTTCTGTAACATTTGGTGCATTGTTAACTTCTAATTTCTTGTTAGCAGAACACAGAAACTGAAGTTTGTAATTCTAAGTACTTTGCTTTTCCAAGTAGAAGAAAGCCAGCATAGTTTTATAACTAAGCATTTTTATTTTGTGTCAACATAGAGTGTAGGGGTAGAAACTTTCTTAGTTTTCTAATTGGAGCAATATTTCAGAAATACTGTATACACAATAAAATAACAATTGCATGTATCTTGAAATAGGACAGAGTCTTGTGCCTTTTGGACTCATAAAGCAAGCTACAGTGTTGTGAGTGAAGGATGGTGGGGCATGGGATGGTAGCAAAGCTTCTCAGAAGGAATGTTGCTTTTTCTATAGTATCATCACAAATATATCAACGTCAGTTGCTACAGTGTAAAAATTTTTGATTACTGTCTATGTCTTTACTGCTTCAGAGTTAGTAGTTTAACTGAGGGAGGGAGGAATTTATTCATGTATATAGCAGGAAAAATCTGAGATGCAGATTGCTTTGTATCAGTATGGGTTGGGTTAGGCACATTGAGAGAATCTTACAGGATTTTTTATTTTTTTGCTTGTTTATGCCATGTTTAAATGAAGATTGTTAGTTAGGAGTAACCACGTGTTGTGTAGAGAAAAGTAATGATGGAGGGAAGCTGATGTGGTAATTGTTTATTTTATGTAAGCAAATTGAGATGGGTAGGATTTCTGAAGGCCTTGAATACCTGACTTCTAGAGTGAAGTAGTTTTGCTGATTGGTATGTGTCCTACATAAAAGGAAGGTTTTGGTGATGATAAAGTGGCTGTCAAGTCACTGTTTATCCTAAAATTACTCGATTTTTGTCTGTTTAGCTTGATAACTTAGATGTGGCACAGAAAACATATCAGTTACATGGCTTGTTTTATGCCTTTGGTGATGTGCACTGGAAAGTTGCCTATGCAGATTTGATTTGTGGAAATGGTGTTACATAGGTAAGTCATTCCCATGACTTCTGGTCCGGGGAGGAATGAGGATGAATATTGTGTCATTGACTGGCTTTACAGTAAGTTTCAGTGAAGAACAATATCAGATTTAATTTTGTCTAGTAGTATATAATTCTCCTAGTAGAAGTCAGAAGTGATGCTGGTAAGTGGAAGGCAAACATTTCTTCTGTGCTTGAGGCTTTTTGTGCCTTGGGCTTTTCTTAGTTGTTCCTCTTTTCCAGCTTACAGGAACAAGCCAAATAGGGCTTAGGGAAGCATGACCTAACGTGCCCTTCCCCCTATGTATGGTAGGTCTTAATTCTCAATGGATTATGAAGATTACCCACCTTTTGTCAACTTCAAAATATGTTTGTTATGCCTAATGTGTTCAGAACCTTCAAAGCTTTGTGTAGAAATAGACACATTGAGCAGACAGGATTTACCAGGCAGCATAAGACATAGTTTAACAAAATCAGTCACTCTTCTGAAATCTACAAGGTTAGCAGTGTTTTTGTAGAAATCTGTGACCAGATGACCTTTCCCCCTTTGCGTTTTTCTGATGGATTTCTGTTTATGCTTGAAAGTTAGATATTGAAGGTCTTCTGACCTTGGAAATTGATCTACTCGAATTCTCTAGAGCCCGAGCTCAGGAACCTTTAGATCTTGCTCTGAGGTTTACTTGCTCAGCATGTATAGTTCTCTTCCTGTTTTGTTTTGACTTTTCATTTCACTTCAGCTGATAGTTTGGTTTTATATTGAAGGAAGCATTTGTAATAGGCTGAGCTCAACAAATTATTTTTAAATGCCAGAAACTGACATGTAGTGTTGGTTCTTGGCTCTGTCTGGGAGTGGGAGAAACACAGGAAAGTGAACTTTGGCAGACCTAAGTGATGATGAAATTGGTTTTTTCCTAGGATTAAATGAGCTACCATGTTTTTGCCACTCTCACAGTAATTACTAGAGCTCAGAATTGATGTGTTAAATGATCATAGAAAACACCTGTAAAGAATTACCTTGTGTATTAGTGTCATTCCTAGCAAAGTGAAATACCTTATAGTGCTTTTTTTTCTTCAGTTCTATTTTTTGAAAGGAAAAAGCAACAGCTTGTGTGTGAAAGCACCTTTGTTATTGTATTTGGCCCAGTGCTGACCTGTTATCCTGGGATATTAGTATTGAATGTCATTCTAGAGATGTTTAAAGAAAAAGCTGATCATTTTTAGAGAGCTGGAACAAAGCAAGTGTCAGGAGAGGATGTGAGTTTTAAAATGTTGCAAAACAGATGTCTCCTAATTGATTTTTCAAATTTGGGTCTTGGAAAAGTAGTAATAACATCCTTAAAACAGCTTCACATAACTTTGATTTGATCTTATTGGCATCACTGGAAGTCAGTGCTGTAATTAGAGCTGTGATCTGCTCTCTTATTGACATACAGGAGAATGGGAAAAATAATTAAAGTAATAGATTTGGTGTGTATTGACTTATTACTTGCTGTAACTTGAAGGGAAAGTATGGACCTTCTAATTTATTTATTAATTCCAAGGAATTGCCAAGGTGATTTCTTTTCTTAGCCTAGCTTTGTTCTATAACCTAGAGAATTTTTGAACTAAGATGATGGGACAATCCAATACATTACATCATTTGACTGAATTTAATGTAAGCTCCCTGGAGTGGAACTTGTTAAATCAATAACATTAGAGCCACTCATTTTTAAAGGAAATGGCACGAACCAATAATGACAAGATAGCAATAAAGGAAGAATAGCCTTTTTGGAGGCATTTCAAAAGAATAAGTGTGTTCTTAGATCTTCTGATGTGTGATCATTTCAGAGACACTGGAACTACTTAGCTAATGTTGAAGAGACCAAATCAGAAAGCTGGCCATATGTTGGCTCTGTATAAAATGGGAGAGAGACGAGATTCTTGCAATATGATCAAAGATGTTATTCACAGTTAGATGCGTAGTACTTTAACACAGTTCCAGACCACCTTCAAGCCTTAATCAAGGGAGTTGTTTAGCTTGTGGAAATTTGAGTACCAGTACAAAAAACAAAGGTGGTTGAAGAGTAGTGTAAAGAATTTTTAAATGGCTATAAGTACAGTTTAAATGTATTGCTTTAAAGATGCAAACCAAATTGTACAGTTGTCAGTTGACTTAACTGTGATTCTCCTTAAAGGAAAGGACTTTTCCAAGTGTAGTAGGTGCTGATTTTCCCTCAGTTTTAGCATAGGAAGTAAAAAATTGTTAAATCAAAATCAGTGCAACAGCTAGTATTGGCATTGTCTTTTTCAGGTGCTGAGAAGGGGCTGCATTGTTTCCTGTTCTCTTACACAGTACTGATAGTTTAACTGATTCAGTGGTGTGAACTGATCCACAGTGTTGAAAAAACTTGGAACTGAAAACACTGATAGATTAAGAGGTTAACAGGGTAGCATTAAGGGACTAGATTGTGTTTAGTCTATCCTGTATAACTCTGTATAAACTCAGTTTTAACAGAATACATAATTTAGAGCAAATATCCCTGAGATGAAGTCATACCAAGAATTAGATACGGGAAAATACTTGTGTTCAGAAGATCAGAATAGCAAAGGGGAAGATACTTCTGTGTCTTTCAGCAGCAAGAGGTTGTTGTGACAATCATTCTACAAGACTGCATCCCCACTGACTGCAAATCAGTGTTTTTTGTACGGGTTGTCTCACTGGAATTTTTTTTGTGCTTCACTAGATGAGATGTTCTCTGGTAGACGAATTTCCTATCTCCATGCCTATAAATCTGAAATTCGTTCTCTTCAGTGCTGTATTTTTTTTTAGAAATTCCTTGTTTGCTTTCACAGCATCTTATGGAGATGTGGTGAAGACGCTTTCTTAGCTGATACTTATCTTAATCTTGCAAGGTATGGAGTAAGCAGCTTGATTTGTGTTGCTCAACCCTTCTGGTGGTGATAGCATTCCCATATGGCCAGAAGCCACAGAAAGGCCACTAAGGTGGCTCTGCTGTGACACGGGGGAATTTTATTGTGTGCCAGCAGTTTTGTACTGAAGATGCAATTTTTCCATGTCCTTTTTTTTTTTCCCCCTGAAAGAGACTTTATGAAATGACTGTGCTTGTACACTGGTATCTGTCATATGTTTGAGGCAATGGTGACTAAGTTACTTGTGTGCTTGGGGCTACCAAACAAGGATTAGCTCCTCCTTAAGTAGGGTCAAGGCCAGGGTTTCAGCAGACTCTGCCAAATCATGGCATTCTGACACTGTAAAGTAGTGGCCACTGTGGTGGCCCTGGGGACTGGAAACGTCAGTGATGTTCCACTTTGTCTGTCAGGCCCGATTTTAGGAGCTCTGCTAAGCATGGTGGCAGCTGTGTGGGTACGGCAGGGTTTGGTTTTGCTAGACTTTCAAAATAAGTTGTTTGGAAAAATATGTTTAATGTAAGAAAATATGAAATGTGAGTATTATGTGAATCAAATTCCTTCAACCACATGCGTGCACTTCAAAAACTTCTGTCGGTGGAATGTGAGCGCTTAGGGTGTGTGGATGGTCCCTTGTGAGGCTGGTCTGCTCGGCCTCGCAGCGGGGGCTCTGCAGCCATTTGGGAGCAAACCATAGCAGCTTTACCTGTGAGTGCCTCTGGTGTTGGGCAGAGCCTGCCCTCTCTCAGTGCTGCCCGGCCTCTGGGGACCCTCCTGCGCAGGCCTGGCAGTGCCCGCGGCTCCTGCCCTGCGCTTCCAGCCAAGCTCTGCCTTCCCTCTGGTGCTGCCACCATGTCCCTCAGGAACAGGGCCTTGCGGCGGTCCCCGAGGGGCCGGCCCGGCGGTGCCATGATGAGTGGCTCCCTTCGTGCCCAGTGCCTGGAGCTTCATCCCCAGGTGGGTTCATCCCGGCCTCCTTGGGCCAGTGCCTTAGTGTGCTGCTTGTTTTCCACTCCTTTGGCCTGTACGGACTTCCTCCATGCTCCTTCCCTTTTGTAATTTTTCTTTTTTTAGCAGTTCCTATCATCTACAATTACTTTCATTTTATATTGTAAGTACGAAGGAGCCTTATGGATTCCAGTATCTTTACAGATCACAAAGGTTTTGCCCCCTGTTAAGTAAGCCTAACCCCTTCAGTACGTACCCCTCTGCTTGCTGGCTATTCACCTATTTTACCAGACAGTCTGCTGTTTAATTTGCTTAACAAATCCCATTATGAATAAATAAGAAAGAAATATGAAGTGTAGGTATTTTCTGGAGGGCTGGAAGGGTTGTGGTGTGGCCTTTGGTGTCCCTTCCTCTCTAGGTCTACCTGAGGTACACCAAGCTTGTACCTCATAAAACATCAAGACAAAACCATGATTTTTCATGAGTATTCCTAACTATTGAATATTTGTTAAATCTAATGTTGAATTAAACTTTATAATATGTAGAAATGTCTAGACTTTCACAGTAGAGACATCAATGAGGATGTTGATACTCAAGTGAGGGATTAAAAAGGAAACAAAGCTGAAACCAAAACATTTAAGAACTGGAATTTGTGTTTTACCTATAAGGTTTCCAGCTAACATCACATTTAAGGAAAATTCTTTTCCATGTGTCCAGTTTCATATCTGTGCAGATGTATAAATAAAGCACAAAAAGATGTATAAATAATATTTCACTTACTGAAAGTAAGTATGTAAAATTAAAATGGAAACATTAGGATTAGGCAGATTAGTATACACCACTAAGAACAAAACCAGTATGCTATTTCTTCCTTGTTCTGCTATCTACATTGTAAAAAATCTGGTTTTTTATTACTCTCTCTCCAACACTGACAAACAAAGACAAGGAGAGGGAGAATTACTTACTTAAGCATTAATTGGAAGGCATGGGTATTTGTTAGGTGATAGAAATTTTCCAGCTTTATGGCATTTGTCCCTCTCATCTCCATGGTCTAGCTCACTTCCCTTTGCACACACATACAAAGAGAAAGCACTTTCTGAAGTTCATCGTATTTCAGTTACCTGACCAAGTGTAGAAGAGCTCTCTGAGAAGGTGGTGGTACTGTAGGGTTTTTTTCTGCAATAGGGCAAAGTAGAAAATGTGATTATAACATCTGTGCTCTCAGTAGAGCTGAAGTAAGCAGCTTCATCGGTTGGACGCAGTGCTGTTGTAGAGACATTGTGTTTGTTTTTTGTTGGTCTTGAGTGAAACACTAGTTACTCCCCAAGTACCAAAGTCAAGGTTTTCTAAACCAGCTAAGTTTGATACTGTGTTTACAGACTTATAGCAAAGTGCCTTGTAAAAATAATTGCTACTAAGAAAATCTAAGCAGCTTACAAAGACTATTACTACAGTTCTTACAGGGACACTAGATCACTGTAACTTTTTGTGAGTTACAACTCACTTTCTGTGAGTTAGCAAGCCTTTTTTTTTCACAATAGCTCCATTGGAACAAGTGAAAACATGCAATTTATTGTTTTGTTTTTCCTCTCCATTAACAGTGCAATGTTAGCATTACTTGTTACAAGGACACACTTTTGGTTTTATGTAGAGCTGAGGCATCATTTTATGGTCTTTTTATAGAGTATATGGGAGGGATGATATAGGTTCTAATACAGATGATTTAATGTATGCACTCAGATTTTACAGTACTTGCTTTGTTTTCACTCAAGATTTCAATTATTATATATGAATAACATCATGGTGGTTTTGGCTGTTTGTACCTTTGAAATAGAGCTTAGAACTATGAGTCAAGAGAGGATGCTGAGTATGTGTATGGTGTGTGTGCAAATGAAATCTGAATTTGTCTTCAGGAAGTATTTTTATAGTATATTAAGATTATTTGGAGCTGTAGTTTTCTGATGGGATTTTTTTGTAGGACTTCAGCACTTCTCATTGGAAAGGATTTATGTTAAGTGCAAATACATTTCGGCATAGCTTCTATACTTTACTTTTACTCTTTCTGTAAATGTAAAAATTTACCCAAACTGCAAATGAAACCATTATCTGTTTAATAGCTTTCTGCTAGTGTCCTCACAAAAGCATCTGGAGCTTTTGTTACTAGAAGTTTGCAGTTGAACTCAGTTTTCTTCCTTTTGTAATGTTGTATCTTCACTGAAAAAAGAAAACCCAAACAAAAACCAACAACAAAAACCCCTATTTAAACCCCAGGGTCCTTGACTATTTGAATATTGTCCATAATAGATCTCCTTAAAAGTTACAAGCTTTCTTAACAATAGCAGATTTGACTCACTTGTGAAGAATTAGAAGCATAATATCCTTACTCCTTCCATGTGCCAGAGCTTGTCAAACTGGTGTCAGCATTGCTTTCCTTCTAATGGTGGGTCCAGTGCCATTTCCACCTCACAGAGGAGAAGTTGTGGCTCAGCTGAAGTAAAACGTTCCATCTGCCACTGGATAGCCTCTTGCATAAGCACATAATCAACTTACATTAAGAAACAAAGTAAGTCATTATCTCCTCTTATCAGAACACTTGGTCCATTTGAATTCAATGTACAGTGTATAATTGACTTGTTAGGAGCCATGTGTACTCAAAAAAAACCGAACAGATTAACTGGTGGGCTCACAATCTTGCTCTGCACTAGACCTACAGTAGATATTTGCTTCCAGGGGTGTTCTTGTAGGATATGGTAACTGATATGGCTGCTGTGGCAAGGCTTCAGATGCAGTCATATTCTAAAAAGGAAAATAAATGTGAAAATATTTTCTGTTTTCCTTGATTTTAGTCATAACTGCTTATTTATAGGAAAAAATGTTGAGTTTCCTTTTCTGTTTGTACTGTGTCTCCTATGATGATTCAAGTTGTGGTCTATGCCTGATATTCCCTCTGTCTTTATTAAATGTGGTTGTATTTTATTTCTAAGGAATTGTCTAATGGCATGCCTCCTATAACCAAGAAAGATTAATTGTTTCTAGATGGCAAAAGTAAATTACTTTCCCCTCCTGAAATTCTCTTACTTACGGATTGTTTCTTCTTATTTTTAGAGGAGGGGAAAAAAGGAAAGTATTAGGAAGTGGACAGAAATAACTCCTGTAAGACATTGTACTGCCAACCAGGGCACTGCCAAGGATTACTTATCTCATTTGTAGTAATGCTCCTTGGGCTATCACCTGAAATTTTATTTCTGGCACTATCCTTTTGGTATCTTGCCCCATTTTTGTTGCCTACAGGACAGCCAATCCTGCCTGTAGGATACATGTCCTGAAGAGTACCTCATGTTGTCAAAACACATTTGGAAATGTGGATTTTACAAAACTGGTCACGTGCTCTTCTGCAGAAATCAAACATGCCTCATTCATTAACAGTCTGTATTTCTGTCTATGGGTGACGTAGGATTTCTAGAATCTTGTCATTTTACTGCATTTTGGGGGGAGCAAAGAAGTTAGTCTAGAACAAGGATTTCTGATTTGATTTAGGGATTGCCTTTGGCTTTCAGCATTTTTAAAGGTTTAAGGTAAAGAATTACCTAATAGAATAAATGTCATGAAAGGTTAGGCTTTTTTTTACAAAAACAGGCTGAAACAGACTTTTGTTTACAAACACAGTTGGGACTGAAATTAGCCAGGTAATCAATGACCTCATGTTAGCCAGTTTAGAGAGAGCATAGAATTGCCTCTCCTAAAATCACTGAATTCTAAGCATGTGTCTTTCAGTTTATGCAACCAGCTGATACCTGGAAGTTATTTGATCTAAACCTCTGCTCAGAATATGGGCAGTTTTATGGTTCATTGAACTTTGGAGTCAGTCAAATCTGATTCACACTTCCGTATTTGTAGGTAGTATGAAATGATTACAAAGTACAGAACTGCTGTGTACTTTTGAAAGAAGCAATATTTGGCATATATGTTCCACTATAATAACAGCATTGGATATTCACTTTATAATTCTTATTTCCTCCACACTAATGTAAAAAAAAAAAAAAATCACAGCATGACAAGCTAGTTTAATAGTCCCCATTCTTTTTCCCAGCCTAATTTTGCAGCAACTGAGAATTTTCAGTTTGGGGTTTTTTTTCACTTGGACTGATTACAGGAATTTCTAGTCCAACAGGAAAAGACACATGAGGGGGCATGCTGTTTTCTGGGAATTAGTTTTATTAAGCATGAAAGCTGAAGCTTTAAAAGAGCATTTGTCTATTGGACTGTTTTCAAAAAGAGCACTAGGGAAAATCTATTAAAAATATTTCCTTTGCTGTTGTAGTATCTCCATTTCTTAAGTATGTGTATTCATTTGAAACAAAAATAATTGTTAGCAAATATGCTTTTTATGATTATTTAGCTATTTCACTTTGCAGGTTCTGCCTGTTATACACAGCAGATCAAAATAGATAATCCTGATGATTCTGGTTCAGTACTTTTTTGATACTTTTTCAGATACTTGAAGTAATATCTCTCAGGTGTTATTCTTCTATTATAAAGGTGAATTATTAATTGCTTGGGTTTTTCCCCTAAGATAATCTGTCATACAGGCTATCCAAGAGCTGGCTTTATTCAGCTTGGTTTCTGAAGGAGCTGTAGGGCCTGTGATGCCCTTAGGTATACGTATGCTTTTTCAAATTTGCTAAATGGAAGTCTTTCCTGCCAGCTTGTACTGGGAGCTTATTTCTGTTTGCATTTCCCAAAATGTGGGATACAGAGACTCCTTTTACTGAGAAGAAAATTTATTTAGGTTTTTTCTTGGCTTTTTTCTTTTGCTCATCATTGAAAAGCAAAGGAATGGCAGATCAGCCTTTGAAGTCTGAGAAACATTTCTTCAGGAAGATTATTCAAGATATGAGTTGATGTTGTGGAGTATGTTTGTCTAGGAGGAAAAAAATGGTGATTTTTCTTAGATTCTAGAGTCCTGAGGTAGTTTTATGGCAAAAAGCAACTATCCCATCACACGTTGT